TTCTATCTAATCAGATGACCCCCTTCTCCGCTATCTCTTGAATACAGTAAAGAAGGGCCATCTAATTATATAGTAGGTGTGAATCATAGGCGTGAGTCAAAGTGCCTGCTCGGCAACCAACATGTTAAGCTCGGTATTCAAGAGAAGGCTAGGCTATGTCATTTGTTCCAAGAACTGGTTTGTACCACTCATTTCAGTATAAAATTTTAGGTAAGTCATTTACGGATGTTCCAAAATTTGTTTTGAGACACATTGTTTGAGAAGGTTCAAAGTCGCATACTTACTCCCACCCATCCTCCTCCTCCCCCAAGCGGGGAACTTCCGAGTTTACTAGCCTCGTCGCTGGGTCCCAATCTAGGCAGAATCTTTGTTTTCTTGCTACCCTCGTAACGGGGTCTCAAAAGGCCATCCGGCCGTTCTAATCAGAGTTCAAACTATTCGGAATTCCAAACATCCAATCCATTTGCTCCAATGGACCTTATGCACGTGACGTCACATCCTCCGACAAGTGACCTGCCGGAGGCAGCCATTGGTCAGTCTTAAACAGCTGACTCAGAACTGCTTTTATTTCTGAGTCGCTTATAGGCCGATCGTTTTGTTTATTCCTCCACAGCTGTTTTTTTATACTCTCGAACCCAAACGGTGCATAAGGTCCATTTGCATTGGGTTTCAACATTGACGAAAAGTTTTCCCGCCCCATGTTCCAAAAATCGTAGAGTGGAACAGCGATGAATGTCCCGCTTTAAAGGTAGTCTGGCAAAACAAAGCAAATTAATTTGACAAAGAAACATTCAGACCATGTGAGCGTGCTAGAAAAATAAGAAAATTCATCCCTGACGATGCTTGCCCATACAGTTATACTGAACTATTGTTGAGCCGCCATCTATACAGTAGAATTAATTGACCTGAACATTCCAATAATGAGGGTTCATGACAAGTTCACGTGAAAATAGGGCTTCATCTGTGTACTGAACACATACTCACAAATCTTCCTTCCCAACAGAGCATTGCAAACATCATAGTGCGAATGCACTTGTTCTCGGTAATATTTTGCACCCTGTGTCTGAATCCATTAAAATTCAAAGGATGTAAAGACCCCTGTAAGGCTGTATTACTCGCAACAAGCCGATTAGTATTACACTAGGATCACACTCGATAACTCGCCTACTTGTTAGAAGATTGCGTTCATTAGCGTTGACGGCAGTTCTTTCATTTTATAGCGAGCGTCTTGTTATATGGGAGTATTAATTGTAAAAGATCCAGATTCACGCAATCTACGTTGCAAACATTCCATGGTATGGTAAGCGTCATTTTCGAAATATTTAGAGATGCAAACGCGTCGTTGCTCATTATGTCTTTAATTGGTGTAATAATGGCACGTATTTACCAATTAAATAAAAAATAATGCCCTCTAGCACCCACACATGACGTTTTGTCTATATGATAACATGCAAAACTCGTTTTTTTGTATGCTGGTCAGTTCTTAAGGTTTGTCGGAACTCTTTTAAATTACCCTGATTTTTTTTATTTTGATTATGTTGTAGACTGGTACTATATCCTATTGAACAAAACTAAAATTGATGAAAGGAAACCATTTTGAAAGGCACATAAAAATTTAATAACAATGAGTAAAAATCTGAAAAGTAAAAAACCGTATATGAGATTTCTTTTATTGTTCCAACATCATTTAAGGAAATAGGTTTGAAGTGTTAGATATGTCTCAATTCAAGATCTTGACACTCTGATAAGATGTGTCGAAAAGATGTTGGACGTCCACATTTCTGGAAAAGATGATCTGGTGCTCTAGCATAAAATGCTCTAAAATATTCATACGATATCTTTACGATGTTGCGCGGCATTCAGAATATCTTAGCAATATCGCGGGGATATCGCAAAATATCTCGTGTTAATAGAGTAGCTATCTGTGTGCATAGATTGTGTATTGTAAACGTAATCGTGTTAAAACTGGTTAAAAACTGTTAAACCGTGTCAAAACTGGTTAAACTTACATTTTCTTTTGGTCTAGAAAGACCTTAATCTTAAACTGAGTTTAACTGGTCAATTTGTTATTTATTTGAAGTTCCTATTTATTTACCAACGTTAATAACTGAGTAAAATTAACGCAGGAATAAGAAAGTCATTTAAGTTTTGAACCGTTTCGGTAGCTTTTTCACGCATTCATTACCATCTATGCCCATAGGAGAACACACTCATTAACTCTACATAGCAGAACTGCCAGAATAATTTAAATAAATTGCAATGAATTTCAGAATTATTAATTTATTTTGTATGATAATATGTATTCAGTTGAAATTTGTTTAATTGTATGTATTTAAAAATCGTTATAATTTTTGTAAAATTCCTTATAAAGACGTTAATTGCATTGATATCAACTTAATTACATTAATTGTTAATTATATTATTATGAATTAGTAGTTGCATTTGAAGCAACGCATTGCTTATTGAATTATTGTATGTTTTAAAAGGAAATATAGTTTATGTATGTAAAAATTGTAGTAATAACTTATGATAACAACTATTTTATAAATAAGGAATGTTTTTAAAAAACTTGTAGAATTGTATATAATTAAAATCTGAATTTTAATAAATTACATTTTATATGAAAATAATGTACGGAACAATGAAAAACACAGATTAGCAAATTTCAGAGCAATAGGGGAAAGAATCCTATTTTAGTTTCATAAAAATTGTATAACAAAACTTCTCTTTTGTGCATTTCACGATAAAACATTATTATGGAATCTTAACTCTCTGAAAGCACATTTAAAATTTAAAACATTTTGAAGACATGTTAAAGATTCACAAATACATATTTCAGAAACATAAATAAACATCACGCAAAAAAATGAGAAGACGGAAGACTTGAACCTTCAAAACAAATTATTTCTGTTGTTTCCATAAATGAAATGAAACTTGACAAACAGATATCAAAATTCCAAAGCTGTTAGAATAGCTATCAGAATAGCACTGGCAACGAATCTGTGCACTGCTTCCATACAGTAAGCCTTGTTTTTCCCATTCCAGATCTAGGGTGAACACGAATCTCTTTTTTTCTTGGACTCGATGTCCCATCGCTGTTGGATGTTGATGCTATTATTGCAATATGCAGCGTCAGCTGTTTGGAACGATTTTCTGTTATGGTGTAATTCGCCGAAAAACATCCTGTCGAAAATGTCCGAATTTGGCACGGTGGACTTGATCTAAGCAATTTCTTGGATATTGCCTAAGATGCTTGGTAACGGAAGGAACAATGTGGGAAATAATTAAAATAACCTTTCTGAGAATTAATGGCTCTCCGTACTAAAGAAAATATTCCTAATAGAACAGGGACAAAAATCTTTCAGGGCTTATCTTTACTGAAAATAACAAAAGTCAAAGTTATTCTAGTTCTGTTTCCATCGCCAAGATTAAATTCATTTATCTTATTGTTCGTGCGATTATTGAAAACTGTTTTGCCTTTGAAATCATTACAAGTGTATGTGGCCTATCTTTATTTATAGTGCTTCTTACAAAGTGTTTTTTAATGTTGAAAAGCACAGTCTAGGCTCCTATGCAGTTATAGAAGTTGCCAGAATGAAATATTATCATATCAATCTATCTATACATGCGCTGTTATATTTTTAAACGTGAATAGTTTTATTAATATTCTTTGAGCTGTCAGTTTCATTAGAAGCCAAAACTTCTCAACCATAGGTCATGACTCCAGATAGGATTGTGCAGAATAGTACTGGGATAACGGAAATTTTCATTTAAGCATGGACAACACTCTCTTCTTCCTCTCAAAAGATTATTCATTTATACGAATATGAACTCATTTTATAATACCTTTTCTTAGAATAAGCAGAGGGTTAGATTTCTTCTTTCAAAGAATTTTCATTTATTCGAAGATCAACTCACTTTATAATACCTTTTCTTACACTGACAAGAGTTCTAGATTTCTTCTTCTAAAAAGTTTATCTTTTCAAATAGTTTTCTTTTAAAATAGTTTATCTTTTATACTAAAATTAGCTCATTTTACAATACCAAATCAGAGGAATATTTTTCATTTATACGAAGATCACCTCAATTTATAATACCTTTTCGCACACTAAACATTGGGTTAGATTTCTCTATTCAAAAGATTTTTCATTTATACCTAGATCACCTCATTTTACAATATCTTTTCTTACAATAACCAGAGGGTTAGATTTCTTTTTAAAAATATTTTTCACTTACATGAAGATAAATTCATTTTGCAATACCTTTTCTCACACTAACCAGAGGGGATGCTTTCTCCTCGAATTACTTGTATAAGTACACATTATAACGCGTTTTGTATTTAGCTTTGCAGTATTGTGAAGAAAATACAATATGCATTTTTGACAGGGACCAAAATTTGAAATAGATCCACAATTTTGATACCAAGATCACAAATTAAATTCCACTTATCTTGCTTGTTGAATTTTTGAGTTATCTCGCTAACATACACACTAATCGACAGGCAATCAAGCCGTTGATGGATTTGGGACCAAATTTGATATAGGTCTCCAATACTGGTGATAAAATAACCAAAATTATCGATAATTTCGGACGAAATCCGTAATCGGTAAATCTGTCTGTCTGTCCGTCCGTGTGCATGTGAATATCATAACAATAAACAAACACTCAACGAGGTAGATAGACGAAATTTGGCCTCCAGCCTGAAATCCATCAAAAAGTAGACTGCCAATACGTATCCTTTTCACATTCGTGTGTATGTGAAAACAATAAATCAGAAATGCAATAAACTACAGTAATTACTACTATTAATTTGTCATCAAAATTGCAGATTTATATCCAATTTCAGACGTAACCTGTCAAAGAGGAGCCTCCACCTTTTCTTTAAACAGCTCGCAACTCCACAGATGACGAAATTCTTTTATCACGGTTTTAATATCACAACACATGGTTAACAATAAAATCTTAAAGCACTGATTACAAAACAAAGCAAAGAACCGAAGGACGAGGTGGACCAGTGGTTAAAGCGATGGACTGCTAATCAATTGGGCTCTGCCCGCATGGGTTCGGATCCCATCCTCGTCGGAATGTCTTCTTTTTATCGAAAGCGGTCAAACAAACTTCCAACTTCTGACAAATGCGTGAGGCGGTTTATTCAAACAATGAAAGGGATCTTCTTTCATTTCATATCATATATTTATATAAAACAGCCCGCTTTGGTTCGAATCCCATCCTTGAAGAAGTGTGTTCTTTTCATCGAAATCTGTCAAACAAAATTCCAATTTCTGACAAATGCTTCGATGATGGGCCATATTGTATTGTTTTCCGTATGTGGGCCTTGGAGAACCAGACCAACGCAAAATTGTGTCCAAACTGAGATAGCCATCGTGCTGAAATGGAAAAGAGTGTGTATGTGTGTGTCTTCATTTAAACAAGCGCGAATATTAAGGAAAAGTCCTGTACTAGAGGTTACTCATAAAATGTTTTTAAAATATGACTCTTAGTTCATTTAAGAGAAAATTTTTGATTGGTCCACTTCGGTTCTCAGACTCTTGTGTTGCAGCCATAAATGCATTTATTCGTTAATGAAATGATCAGTCTTTAAAATTAAGTAACTTTTGTAAAAGGTTGTTAAATTTCTTAGAGAAAAAGATAAATTTGACTACTTAATCCTGAAATGTGGGCCATTGAATCTTCTGGTGCCTACTCTTTTATGCATAACCCGAGTGGACTGATGATAGGCTGTCGGTTTCAGGCAAAAGCGTCTCAAGTTCGTTTTTCACTTACAGTGTTCACAGATAAATAGAGAGGAATCCAAAAAAGTTTTTTTTCGGTCTCCGGGAGGTCTAAAACGCGGCTATTCATTAAAATCTCGAGGTTGAAATTTTGCCGATTACAGTACTTTCTCCTTGTATACTTCGTATACTAGCAAGTAAAAAGTTTACATAGCTAATACCCTAACACAGAGTCTGTCATTTATGTCCCACTGTTCTGTTTGGAGAACAGTGCTGTTTGGAGAGAGAGTGCCAGATTAAGTGCAATTCTTGCCGTCTGACCGGGTTTCAAAATTACTAGGCCCGTCCCAACATAGCCCTCTAGTTTAGTCCCCTCAAAACTTATTAACCTTTTAAATGGGCGATTTTTTAAAAATTGATTTTAAAATGGGTTTTTTTGACATTTTAATATATAAAATTTCTTTTTTCATATAAAACATTGGAAAAATACTTTAAAAAGTCCTATTTTGTTTAAGTATGGTTTACGGCTGAAAAACAGTTTGTTACACTGTCAACACTGGAACTATCTACAAAACTCTACAACACTGGGTTCAGAAAAAAATTCCCTTGATAAAATTCTGTAAAATTAAACAAATATCAATTTTAAGAGCTAATAATAAGGATAATTAATTTCCTCAACATTGTACAATAAAATATGGTATTCTCAAGCTTTCAAACGAAGCAAAAAAGATGCAGTCCGAAATGAAATACATCAATTTACTTTTATTTTTCATCAGCACTCAAACTGCCATCTATATGTTATAAATTTATTTAATATCATGTTCTGTATGTATCCTATTGACAACAGCTGGCATTAAAGCTCTAGTCTTATTCTCAATATTTTAGAAGACCAAATTGTGTATGTTGCTTAAAGACAACACACAGCATTTAAGGGTTAATATGACTACTATAAATTAAACTGTCATTAATGTAAAATAAACACCTAGCCTTATTTCATATATTTATTTACTTTACTTATTTAAAAATTCATCGAAATTTTTATGAAAAGGATCTGGGTCTTTCCAAATCTGTATAATTCATCTCAGTAACCTGTGACTTGGGACGAAATACATGGATCCAGCAAAACGAAAACCATACATGTCTCCGGGGAATGTAGGACTCGCTAAGAAATTCAATATTTCTGAAACATACCTCATTTTGTATTTATTTATTTAGTCAGGCCGCTTCATGTTTTTCGAGGCCAGAACTAAATGAGGCGTAATCTTCTCTTTTCAAAGGTATAAACGCATGGGTGAAGTTTCTTAACTTAAGAAGGGACAGATGGGTCAGAGAGAATTGTGAAGTGGAGTAGAAGTTTTTTCTGACGCCTCAGTGCCGATGGAATTCTCGATTCGAACGAGGAGGAGGGCAACAGGGGAATCATAGGGTGGTTGCCTGTTTGTGATACTTGTGAGATGCTTCGCTTGAAATGAAATGTAAAAAAGGACTCATTCAATCGAATAATATCTTGTGGATTTTTTAAAAACTTTTGTTTAAATCGAATTTTTCTGGCGGCTTTGTTGGCATGCTTTAAACGCTTGAATTTCTGGAATATTATGGCGAAATTTCCATATTTGACTATGTTGCACCAAGCAAAAAATAAACAATAAAACAACGTTAAAATTTTAGTAATAAAACTTGAAACAGAGGCTAATGAAGTTACACCACTAGGTAAAGTGAAGAACAGTACCAAAACTAGAAACTATTAAAACTTTGGTCTTAAAGGAGGAATATATATCAAGAACTAGGGGAATATTCTCCACTCGGCTTTCTCGTATATTTACACAATATGGAACGTTTTGCGTTTAGCTTCGTTTAATATATTTTCCATTTCTTTGTTCGTCCTATTGAGTCCAAAATTTAATGCAGATCTACAAAATTTGTGTCACAACACATACCATGTTTTTTTATATAATTTGTTGCGTTTTTAAGCTATTGCATTCACATACGTACGAAAATATAGACTGACTGTTTGTCAGTCTATCTGATTGATTTGGTTTGAACTTTGACTTAGAGCTGGAAATGTAATGGTAAATCCAAAAGCCAAAATTTTTCTATCTAGCTCATTGGGCTTTTGAGTCATTGTTTTCACTTCCATAAGGACGAATAGACAGACATATGTCTTTTTTATGCGTTTCCTCCAAATTTGAAGCAGATCTGTAATTTTTAAGTTCAAGACCACATACGAAAGTACATTTGTTTAGCTTATTGTATTTTTTTAGTTATAGTGCTCTTAAACAGATGGACAAACAGTTCATATTGAAAAGGACAGAGGACTTTTATAGAATTCGTCTTAGTGGAGAAAGTAGAAATTGAAATAAGTTAGCTAAGTCTTTTATAGTCAAAGAAAGTGACTTGAAAGCTCGAAACCCATTCAAATCACGAAACTTAAAATGTTACGGGGTCGTCATCGACATCTCTACAGCGCTGCGTCAGGACCTTCAAATACAAATTTCTCAATCCTCGAGGCTCCTCGAATATAGGTTCTTAGTTAACATCCTGAAGAGGTGGAGTCTTTTGGGAGGAGGCATGCATTAACATTCTTTGTAAAAATAGATCTTCAAGAATTTTAGAGATCATGAAATTTAGTTATGTTATTAATCTAACTATGTTTGAGGTAAGCGCTTCCCTAAATATTTTTTAATACTAGAAACGATCAGTAAAAAAATTTAGGTCTGGAAAGCTGAAATGTTATTTTCACACGAAAGGTGAAAATTAATTCAAAGAAATTGCTCAAGGGACCATCTTTGATACTTGTATTTTCACAAGGTGAAGGTGGTGAAAATCATAAGTCAGATTGCACATATTTTTACAATGAGACCGATTTAGAAACGCTTATTTATTACCAAAACGCAGATGGATTAATCTTTATTCTTAAATTGTAAATGCATAGGGGAAACTAGGGATAATTGTCTCTAGTTTTAATTTTTTCCTATATATTTCGAATATTCTAATTATTAGCATCGTGAAAGGATTTGTTTCTAAGAATGAGAAATGTACTTATGCTAAATTCATATCTGATTTAATTAAAAATAAATATATTTCATAAAATTACCTAGGGTCAAGTATCCCTAACTTTAGGGACACTTGACCCTAGGCTAGGGTTACTTGATCCTACATGCAAAGAATACTTAAATTCTTTCGATGATTTGTATGTTCGCGAAATTCAGTTATTAGGCTAAAACTATTAAATTGAAAGTGTCTTAATTATCAAAATAATATTAATGAAACTATTATTAAAAATTAAATAATATGACGACTATAAAACACAGATGTTATTATTAAAAATATAGTTTCAAATTGAATAAGTGTAATTATTAAATTAATTCTAGTTATTAAATTAGTTCGAAGTTAAATAAACAATTAAAATATTGAATTATTTAAATGATAAATATTATAACAGAGGAAATAATAACACAGTAATGTCTCTAACACATTTTAGCCAGTTTTGGAAAATTAGAAGTGAAATGAATAGTACCAAAATAAAAAGAAAGAATCAAAAAAATGTGGTACAAAGTAAGAAATCAGTAAACTTTATTAGACTTACTCAGTTCTGCTAATATTTCAATAAAAATAAAAGCAAAAGAAGAAATTATATTCTACAAGAAAATTCAAACCAAAAAAGAAACGAACTCAACCGAACTAACGAAACGTTAGATAAGACCAAATAATGACAAGTACTTCGAACAAAAGATTTTTATTAAAATAATAATGAATAAAAACCGTTTATTTGCGAGCGAGGAAAAAAATGGTATAAATTTCAATTCTTTTTAAAATTCTTACTAAAATACTTCTTTGTATTATTTGAAATTGTCACATAAAATAGATATTTTATTCTTTAAATAATTATTTGCAAATTATTTTTAAATAAATATTCTCATATAAAACTCAAATACCCAAAATACTAGCATTTCTGCCGATAAACAAGGCGGAGGGTTGCTTTTCAACTTGTTTAATTAAGCTGTTATATTGGCGACAAACTCCGTAGCACCAAAAAGCAAATCCCAACCGTAGGATGTACTACGACATTGAAGCTGGAGTAGCTTTTAGGTAGGATCAAGTATCCTTAACTGACTATGGTCAATTTTCCCTAACTGACTAGGGTCAATTTTCCCTCACTGACTAGGATCAAGTTTTCCTAACTGACTAGGGTCAAGTATCCTTAACTAACTACGGTCAAGTATCCCTAACTGACTAGGGTCAAGTATTTCTTACTGACTAAGATCACATTTTCTAAATAATCTAAAGATTAAACCACTTAAAATTAAAATATTGCACAACATCGTATATTAAATTATAGCTTAAAGTATG